CCAGCTCGGCGGTCCATTACTATGTCTAACAGGAGGTTTCAGCCTTTCGGTTTGCTCACATTTAAATTAAGCTGAAATCTCAGATCAGTCGTTATAGACGTCGGCTGTTCTATAAACCATCGTAAGCAAAGGCTGGTTCAGTTGTGACGCCATCAGAAAATCTGCCCATGAGACCCTTTGTGTTCTAAACGCTTCAGTTCCTCTAACATCCAGCAGAGGCAGCAGAGAGTCCGTACCCATTGACCCCCATGTTAACAGCCTAAAACACAAACTGTGTAGGTTTGTGTATATATCTCCTTTTCATAAAGTCCTGCACACTGAGACGATGTTTGGACTGTGGCTTTGGAGGATCTCATTTTAAATGATTTTTATGGGCTCAAATTGTGGTCATAAATATTTTGTACTTGTAAATCAGTATTTGTATGTGTAAAAAAAGATTTGTGTGTGTGGCCAAAAAATACGTGTGACACTCTGCACTCAAGTTTCAAGTACGAATTTTGACCACAATTTGAGCCCATAGATCTTAAATGACAGTGCAGTGACAGTTCTTTAACTCCCTCAGAAACGTAAGAAACAATATTTTACATTTTCACAAAAAAATAATAATTCTCCGAGGCGTCAGTTGTAGAAAATCTAAATCTGTGCATCTCTGCTGTGATTCATGATGTTCAGATTTGTTCATATGCTTGGTTATTGGCGTCACCGACGTTATGAACGGTGTTTAAGCCAAACACCGGCCGAGGCTTGAACCTGCAGAGATGAGCTCGTGTTGGAGTTTTATAGGCATCTGTGTTATCAGGAGAAACCTGGAAAGTCTTTGAGCGGGCCTCGAGCCAGTGTTTGAACCCAGCTGTGTGTAATGAGATGAACACGAACGGTTGCTGTAATCTGCCACAGATTACAGATTACACATGAGCCTGTTAAAAAGGACGCAGACACTTTAATCCCACTGAAGGATCTGTTGAACTGATTCCTGATCAGTTTGTGTCAGACTTCCACCAAATGTCTCACTCAGAAAAATAATCACAAGCATTTTAAACTGTTTTTTAAAATATACTTTCGTATAATTCTGCGAGTTGTGGTTGTGGAGAGCACATTTTAACGAGCTGCAGTTACATTTCAGCCGTTTCTGAAGTGGAGCTGTGGCTTTTGTAGAGTGAGGATGTTTGAGCTGTCGGTGGAACAAAACGCGACACCTGAAGGCCAAGCTGACCGACATTTCCTCCACTTGTGCTTCTTTAATCTGGAAAATAAGGGAATTCTCTATGTCCCAGTGAAACTCGCTGACAGGTGCAGCGCTCACTGTCACGCGATGTCTGGACAAACCTGAATCTCACGCCTCCACAACCAGCAGAAACACAGCAACTGCTCCTGGAATCATAAAAGAAACCGGCTTCGGAGCATTTTCAGTCCCAGCAAACCCAAACAGGACCGATTCATCAGCGCGTCCGCTTGGACTGCTTTCTTGTCTTTAACCCTTTAAGACCTACCATAGAACCAAGTCCGCCAGAGCTTATATTATATTATTACATGCTGTGGAGCCATTTTTGGGAGCATTTCAAGTTGATATACATCAATACAACCATTATAGCC